TGTTTTTTCTTTTGACCGAGAGCTTATATCTCACTATTTCGGGGAGAATTCCCAGCATGTCTTCAGGTCACCATGTAAACACGTCTACATTCTCGTGTACGAACGAGATCATAGCTCTTCATTAAGGCTTAATGAGGCATGATCTGATCTTGTCCTTCATTAACCCATCAAAGCCGATTGACACTTCTTGTAATTCTTCCACGGGAATCATCCACTCCCGCTCTAGCTCTTTCTCCATCCGGAGACGTGTCTTCTCAGTCGACAAGGTCTTCAGCATTCCTTTACCTTTCATCGAGAGCAGATAGAATGATCTGACTTCTCGCTGTTGCTGCTCACGAATCCTACTCCTTCTGGTATCGATAACTTCACTATTTGGTGGTAAGTGGATGTGACCACCTGTAGGCTATTCAGGAAAGTTCTTCCAAGAATAACATTATAGGTGGACTTGATGATCATCACCAAGAAATGTGTTTGGGCAGTGGATTGGAGAGGGTAGTCGCTGGCCATTAAGGGGAGAGTGATCATCCCTTCTAATAAGAGCGAATGTCCTGTCAATCTGATGAGGGGATCTTGACAAGGTTTTAGTTTGGATTTGTCGATGCCCGTCTAGTTGGAGACGTCGATGAATAGGATATCACTGGAGCTCTCCGTGTTGACTAAGATTCTTTTGATTCGAAAGCTATTAATCTCAACCAATATAATGAGAGGGTCATCATGTGGGGTCTTGATGCCTTTTAGGTCAGCTTTGCTGAAGGACATATGTTGATGTGTTCTCGGTTTCTTCTCACACAAGTTGACATCCAGCACTCTGGCGTACTTCTTCCAAGTGTTATTGGACATTCCTTCCACTGTTGGGCCACCACTAATGGTATTGACGATGCCTCGACTACTGGTCTCTATAGGCTGCTTAACTTGCTGATGTTGGGGATGAGGCAATCTGGATCGAGATCTCCTGTTGGACTTTCTTGGAGCGGGTTATCTTCTGTCTCGCTGAGAGATAAGTCTTTTCAAGAATTACTCTTGTATTAAGTCCTTAATATCTCTCTGGAGGACTCGACAATCATCAGTATGATGGCTGTGATCTCGATGGTACCAACAATACTGCATGTTGCCTCTAAATCGAGGGTCCGACATCATGCCAGGAGGAGTATAATTCAAATATCCTTCTTTCTAGACCATGTAGAGGGCTTATGTGAGAGAGGTGTTGAGGTAAGTGAGGGTCAGCCTCTTAGCTGCTTCTCTCCTCTTGTCCCTCTTGTCGGCCCTTCTTGGCCTAGAGTCAGGTCTGGGCAGATCCTTCTATGTCTTCTCCTTTAGAGAGGGCTTGGCTTCGTAATGGGTGCTGCCTTCATCGCCACCACCACCACTACTTCTGCTTCTCTGGTCGCCTTCTTATAGACTCGGAAATATTTTGTATCTATGTGCCCTGGTGCCCTGGCCATCAGCTGCTCATAGTTGGTGACTCGATCTATGATGAGTAAGTCGGCCAGCTTGTTACTCTGCAGTTCTGCCAAGATTGCAGCCATGATGACCATGTTGCCAGTGTCTTCCACTTCCAGCCTCTTAGCTTAGAACTTCTTGAAGTAGTCCCTGAGGTTTTCCCCACGTTCTTGTCTCATATGTAGCAAGATATGGGAGGGCTTCTTCTGCTTGGAGTCAGCCAAAAATTAGTGCATGAACTTTGACTGAGCTGCTCAAAATTATGGATGGACTTATTTTCCAATGAGTTCCACTACATCTTTGCACTTCCATTCAGGGTGATGGGAAAAGCTCTGCAGATGATTGGCCCAGTCACCTATTGCATGTTCATCAAGTTATAGAAGTTTTATGCATGCTCCGCTGGATCTTCTTCACCTTTGTACTTATCGATATAAGGCATATTGAATTTAGTGTAGGGAGCACTCATTATACAATCGGTGAGTCAAGTGTTTCCTCTGATGGTCTTAGTGATAGTATTAAACGTCCAGTTGTAACTAGATGCTAAATTGGCGGTGGAAGGACTCCGAGCAGCATACGGGTATCTGGGGCTGCGTGAAGTTGTACACATGGCTCGATCATGGCCACCATAGACGTAGCTGGGGCTTTCCCTTGTTGCCTTCATGTACTACTGGGACTGTTGTGGCGGAGCGGTGAAGTGAGCATGTTGGCAAAGTGGAGGAGAGGTGTGCTCAGTGTAGTCTTTAGGCACTCGCTGTTTGGTCTGACCCACAAGAAGGGGGGGAGGAGGAGCGAACGATGGAGAAGGCTGCTAAGGAGGAATCTGGCTGAAGAGCTCATTCGTGAAGGAAGCGAACTGCTACTGGAGAGATAGAGAAATTATCTGAGTAGACTCCTCTAACTAGGCTTGAGGGACATAGCCTATGTGTTGGTCCTCAGCACATGGGTTAGAAGATCAGTCTGGGTGATTAGAACGAGTCATCTTATGCAAAGAAGAAAGAACAACCTCACGATGGGTGCCAAACTATTAATGTTAGTTATCTATAAGGGGGTTTAATATTTGTTTGGTACGGTATTAGAGTCCGTAATATTTTTTAGATAGTTGGGCTCTGAGCATTGAATTCCATCCTGCACATGAACAACACGTGAGAGAGTTAGAGTTAGAATCTCTTGTGGTTTCTCCGACGATCAAGTTTGTCTTAGACTTGAGTGGAGAAGAAAGATAAGCGTGTGTTGTATTTTTAGCAAGAAGATTGCTTTCCCTAGGCAGTAGATAGCAGCTTCCCTTTATAGCAGATCTAAGGGATAGATGGGTAACTCCACCCGAGTCCAAATAGACGACTCAGTTGGCATCTACTTTACAGGTGTCGGCTGGAGAGGGGGATGAGTTACTCAGGTGTTTAATGTGAGAGTGACTGTGTGTGCATAGTGATGACGAGGTCTGACATGTCATAAAGACTTTTGGGGATGGAGAAATGATGACTCTAATCATGCATTCAATGTGATGGCAATTAGTTGTCGGCATGGGGCTCAAGGATAAACCACCTTTCTACTCATCTTTATTGAGAGGGTCGATAAGTGACACCTTTCACTTTGGTTTTGCGAGTGAGCCGATAAGTATCGCCTTTTTAGTCGGCATCGAAAGTTGTTTATCCAGCCTTATGGAGTGAAGAGAAGTGGGATCGGCTTGAATTGTGAGCCGATTGAGGACACCTCTCGAGTGGCTTTTGTTAGGAAGGGTCGAGCGCTGTAGTCGTTCGAATCATCCCTCTCAAAGTATGGCTGATTAGATATTTTAAGGTGAGACACGTGTCGGCTCTTCGTCGAGTATTAACACTTAGCTAATTGTAGGATATAACGTCTAGTATTCAAAATCCTCTCCAGGACCAGGAAGCAACACTCTTGATCGCAATAGTCCAAAGAGAATTATGTTTCAAATAATTTTCATAGAGCCACTTAATCCAAATAATATCTTGCTTCATATGAGTAGCCAATAAAATTTTAATCATAGAGGCCATATTCCAATCCTCAACTTTGACCAAGCCTGACTACTACACTTATTCGGCAATAAAACTTTATTCCCAAGGATCAAGTACATCTTGTAGCATCTCCATTCCCTAAAATTTTATCAATAATATGTAAGGTATTTCTCGATAGCAAGAAAACCCACACAAATGCCAAATGGCTAATAAGGGTGGCATTCTACCATTTCACAGATGAATGGAGTTGTTATGATAATCTTTTAGGAATAGACTAACAATTTTTGAGAAATACAATATAGAGATCTCTCAGTTACTCAATCTTTAATATAGCCCAAAAGCCTAATACAATTTCCCTCAAATAAATGAATAAAGAAGAAAAAAATATCAAATACGCTTCACAAGAGAGCTCTCTCTTCTTAATTGGTGCTATATAGATTGATGATAATTTAATCTCGAGTGACCCTGTATATATATAGATCCAAAAGGCCAATTGCTTGCTTCTCAAGGAAATAGAGTCACAGTGGGAATAGAATTTTCATATGATTGATTATGTCAGCAAATTGAATTCTTGTATATGTGGGATTCCTAATAAAGGATAATCTTTAATTGATCAAGATTATTTCCAAGTTAATTAATTAGGTGTCCATGTTTTTTTGAAATTAGGACATTGTATAAACTAATTTGTCACCAACTCAAAATAGCATTCTCTAGGTCAATGCGTGACCAAGTTGAGATGCCAACTTCGATCGTGTGTATTTGAGGCATCCATAACAGACCTCCACCTTGACTTAAATACACCAATAATTCTTCAGTCCAAAAAGCTAATTTACTCAACCTTCTGTAACAGCCCCGCAGGTATCAAGTGCGGCACATACGATAAAGTCCAAGCTCAGCTTGAACTTACCAACTGAAAGAGACCTCCTCAATAAATCGACCGAATTGTCTACAAGACGATCATAACTCTTAGCAAATTCATCACGTGAAGTACGTAGCTTTTGAATACAAGTGGAAAATCTGACTTGGCATACATAATACAAGTGAAAAATCTGACATTGTAAGGTGGGCCCACTAAACGTGGAGTAATTAATTAACAAGCTTAATTTTCTATATTCATATTCATTTTGGGCTTGAGTTCCTTGAGGAAATTTAATAAGGTAAATTATGAGAAAGGTGGACGAAAGTCATGGGTGGGTGGTTAGGGGCTTCGAGTGTACAAGGGAGAGTTTTATTTTTATTTTTTATTTTTGAGTGGCTAGCTGACTTAGATTAGTAAGAGAAACGGCTAAAAAGGGTACGTAGGAGCTATGTGTGTGCGCGTTGTGTTAATCACGTGAAAAAAACACCTTAATTTGTCATAGGAACCGAAAATAAATATATTAATCATCACTATAATCCCCCCCCCCCTAATCCTAAATGCTCTTTTTTAGCAAAGCAAGCACTAATTCTCCCTCTCTCTCTCTCTCTCTCTCTCTCTCTCTCTCTCTCTCTCTCTCTCTCTCTCTCTCTCTCCTCCGTTTCCTTCACTATAAAAGGGGGCTCATCCCCAAGGCCAGGGATCATGCAATTAATCCAAGTTTTTGAAACTTGAGAGTTAAGAAGGAGCAAAGGCTTGGGTTCTTGCTTTCTTTCTTTTTGTCTAAAAGAGAGAGACGAAGCAAAGAAAAGCCTTTTAGCTTAACTTCTTCTTGATTTGATCTCTTCTTTTTCCTCCTTAACATATTCCTTGTGGTGCAATCGTAAAGAAATGGCAGGACTATCCTTGGACCACCCTTGGGCTTTTGCCTTTGGCCTCCTAGGTAATTAAAAGTTGATTAATCACGCACGCATTATATGTATGGGGAGTTAATCTTTATATATACTTTTACTGTTATTTACAGTATTTACTCACTTGTATTCCCTTTTGTTACTTTTATATTAATGTGTGTAAGAGGCCCTTTTTCCTAAATTAATATTTTCTATATATTTCGCTTCCCATTTTTATCTTTTTATATGGAGATATTGCATGTGTACAAGCGCGACAACTCTTTTGTCCTGAGAAACCATAGAACGGAATTGAAATGATAAGGTCCGTTTATTCTGATATAAATATTCGATAATTAGTCTCATTTATCTCCTAGTAACTCATTTATATAATCAACTTTTATCTACAATCTTTTCTTTTTATTCAAATACAACTGAATAATTTAGCAGGCATGTCCAGGAGATTCTTGTCTTGTTTGTATACATGCAGCTTTCTTGTAGTTTTAAAGTATCAAATGTGAATAAGTGTTTCCTAATGGAGATACTGTATAATCATACGGCCTTCTCTTTCAAAAAAAAAAAAAAAAAAAAGCCCACTAGCGCTTGTTACTCAATCTTAAGTACCTTTCCACTCAGCTAGCTCTTAATTTCTTCAAAAGTTTATGACGAAGTTGATCTCTAATATACTATTTGCTAAGACGGTCCCAATATATAAAATCTCTCTTTCTTGCTAGCTTGAATTTTTGTTAATTCATGATAATGAAACATATGCTACTTATCCCTATACGAATATATATACCGACTTAATTAAAGCGTATATATACTCCTTTCTTCTTCGTCTTTAATTCTTTAGTCTATATAAGCTTTCTAATTTGGTCATGCGTGTTTTGTAGGCAACTTGATATCATTCATGGTGTACCTTTCTCCCATGTAAGACGCTACTACTACTAAATTTCACTTCGTTTTTCTACATTTTTTTAATCTTACACACTATCACTTAAATAGACTTATAAACATATGCATATCTTGATCTTAATTATTTGCAGACCTACATTCTACCGTATATACAAGAAGAAAACAACCGAAGGGTTCCAATCAGTGCCTTACGTTGTTGCACTGTTCAGTGCCATGCTATGGATATACTACGCATTCATCAAGACCAATGAGTACCTCCTCATCACCATCAACACTTTCGGATGTTTCATTGAGACCATATACATCGCCATGTATCTTATGTACGCCCCAAGGAAGGCTAAGGTATACATGCACATACTCTCGCGTACGTGTTCTTCGTATGATTATTATGATTTATTTCAATTAGAATGTGAGAAAGAATGTAATTCTTAGCAATCGCCTAGGAGTTAGCTCTGAATTATGGGAAAAATTATACATCTGATATTTTGTAGGTGTACACAGCAAAGATAATGTTGCTCATTAATGTGGGACTATTCTCTTTGATCGTTCTATCGACCCTCCTCCTCGCCAAGGGCCACAACCGCCAGAAACTCCTCGGTTGGCTCTGCGTGGGCTTTGCAGTCAGTGTCTTCGCTGCTCCTCTGAGCATAATCGTGCGATATCTAACCTTATTAATGTGTTTCTATATATCTCTTAATATTACATGTATATGTATTATAAACTAAAAAATTATTCAAATTTTCAGAAACTAGTCATCAAGACAAAGAGCGTAGAGTTCATGCCATTCTCTCTGTCCTTCTTCCTCACCTTAAGCGCCGTCGTCTGGTTCTCCTATGGCTTTCTTATTAAAGACATCTATGTCGCGGTAACAAATCAGTATATCCATTTATAACTTGTATTGTTGGAGACAAAAAAGTACATAGCTGAAAGCAAAACGCTAGTGATTTCTATATTTTTATGTATGTTTTTTGGCTAGTACAGATTCCGAACATATTGGGATTCGGCTTTGGAGTAGTTCAAATGGTGATGTACATAATCTACAAGGATGTTAAAGTTCTCAAAGAAGAAGCCAAGCTACA